GCTTAAGACTGAACTGGTTTTTAATCCTGCCCAATCACTGACCAGAGTTGTAACACTAGAAAAATGATTTAACCTCCAAACCTTTACTTGTAAAATGTGGTTAATGGTGTTCAACTTAAAAGACTGTGAATTAAAATAAAGAGATCAGTTGAAAGATAAAGCAATGCCAGAGATTGAAAGATGTGTTAAGCATGGATGGGTAACATGACTTACCGAATGATGGATTCCAAAGCTGGATAACTAGAAAGATGTCTGTGCCTGTAGTAGAGAACAGAGAAATTAGGTGGAATTGATGACATATTGAGATACCATGTAGGTGGGACTGACTAGCAGGCTTTGAAAAGGTGTTGGGACTTTATATTCCTAAGTGTACAGTTAATGTAAGTCTATTGAATTGATATTTCTAACATATTAGAATGCAAGATGAAGCAAGAATCATTGAGGACACATCAATTGTAGGAAGAAAGAAGTAAATGAGTGAAGGAGACAGAAGAAATGAGTAGAGTGTGAAGGAAGAAACAGAGAAAGTACAGAGGGTGGGATGAAAGCAAAGAATAACAGACATGAGAAGTTCTAATGTTAAATGACAGAGACAGAATGCAATAGGGTGAGAAAATTCTCTTATCTAGGATACTACAGAGTAGAGTCATCAGCACTAATGGCCTTGAATAAATGAAAAGGAAGACTGAGTGTATTAGTCAGCTTTTTTTTTTTTTAATCACTGAGACAAAATACATAGCGCCTACAACTTACAGGTGGTGAGGTTTATTGGGCTCACAGTTTCTTTGGGGTCAGTCTGGGATAATCCATCTGCAAGGCAGACATGGCACAGAAGAAAGGCATTGAGGAGGAGAGAGTTCCTCACTGCATGGCTTCCAGGAAGTAGAGAGAAAAGGGAGGACCTGGGGACAAGAATATCCACTTCTAGATCACACTGCCGTGATCTGCCTCTTCCGTAAAGGACCCACATACCAACACATGGAATTTTTGGAGGACGGTCTCTATCTAAACCACAGCATTCTGCCCTGGGGTCCCAAAAGGCTTGTGTCCATTTGCTTATACAAAATGCATTTAGTCCATCCCTAAGAGTTGTCAAAATATTAATAGTTCCAGCATTGCCGAAAAGTCCAAGTTCAAAGACTCCTCTGAGACTCAAAACAAACTCTTAGCTGTAAACCCCTATAAAAATGAGAAAGAAAATTAAAATTTTCAACATATGATGATAGGATAAGATGAACATATCCATAATGGCCTATAAATTGGTTCAATTTAAGAAGATTAGAAGCTTAAGTAACTCCATAGTTCTACATCCAAGTGTGTAGAAGAGATCCCTTACCACTCTAAGCTGTTGTTCATTGTGCCGACTTGAGAAATCTCCATGGTTTGTGGAGGTTCCAGTCCATAATCAGCTGGCTCCAAGGCAGGCAGAAGGGTGACAGTTCATGTTGGCAGAAAACAGCAAAAGCAGAAAGAACAAAATATTTGGAGCAGCAGAAAGCAAGCCTTTTTTCCTCTCTTATATTGCATGCAGGCTATCCACTCTAGGGTTGGGGTACCACTCATATCCATAATCCAAGTATTGGACCATGAGTCAATCAAAAACTCTAGAAATCTGCCCCATGACTGCATGAGGCTCTGGGGGGACATGTAGACAGAGACCATAGTACCTATGTAGCCTCTCACTTGGGATGGTTCCACTTGCTGCCTACAGTTTTTCTCTGGAGATATTCCAAATTTTGGTATCTCTAATGTTGTGGGGTCTTTGCTGCACTGTTGGCTTCACTCTCACAGGTGTACACAATCATCTTCTCATGGTCAACTTGTCTGGCCTTCCAGTCCTTCCTTTGATATTTGGGTAGAAGCCTCCATGACTCTACAACTTCTGACTATATTTTTATGCCTGAACAACTAGAACCACATGAATGATTCTGAGTTCTGCCTCCAACTAGAGCAGTAGCAAAGCTCCCTTGAGTCATGCCTCAGGGACCTTAGAGTGTCTGAATATGATCAAACGAGTCCCAGACGGTCAATTTCCTAGGTGGCCTTCTTGGACAGGGGACTCGGTGGCTTTCCTCAAGAGCTTACATTTTTGCATCTTTGAGCCTATAATAGGTGGGATCTTGCTGATTCTTGAGATGGCTTCAGGCCATTTACCGGTTATTCTACTGCAGTCTTCTTTTAATGCCAGTCTTCTCATAAATCACATTCTCCTCTGCCAAAACTTTATACGAACTTTCTGGTCAATCTTCGTATCAGTATCCATATCACAGCCTGAAAGCTAGGCTGCTTTGAAATTTCCTCCAGCAGATTAGCCATTACATTCAGTCTTAAACAAAGCCTTAGGACACGATCAAAATGTAGACAAATTCCTTGCCAAAATGGAACACATCACCTCTAGTCCAGTCAGATGTAGAAGGGGGTAGCAGCAAGTTCCTTTGAAAACTATGGGCAAAACAAGAAAGAAATAAGCACAAGACAGAGGAAGCAACTTAAAAGATAGACACCCAATAATTCAGGAGTTCCACAAGGTATGATGCTAAGGGTTGGTAGAGGGTGGGAATTAGAGGAACTGAAAAAAGAATGGCTGAGGATAACCTTCAGAGTGGATGACAGAGGAGGAGTCAGCAGTGAAAGATCACCCAGGAGAGGGGTGTAGATACAGGCATGATAGAAGAGCTTACCAATAAGCAGAGAGCATGCCTTTGGGAAAGGGGGCATTGTTACTTGTCCTTTCATTGCTTTTGGAAGTTTAAATCTGTCTAGTCCCTTGAACTTATCTCTCCAGCTTCTAAGTCTTTCTATAAATAGCATTCTTCTTCCCTGGCACAGAAAATGGGAGAAGGGATACTAGTTGTATACACAGCTGCAAAATTTTATTCCGTAGTCAGCTGGGTATATGATTGACAATGACTCTAAAATAACTTTTTCTGGAAGCTAGGGTAGGAGGCTGGTTCAAGCTCTTATTTACTGAGTTCTGACCCTGGGGCTAAAATGTAAGAAAAGAGTAGAAAAATGTAATTATCAAAGTCCAGTAAGACTCAGAGACAGATGATATAAAGAATGAACATACTC